CAATAATAATAATAATAAAACGGGATGAAAGAGGTAGAGGCTAGACAAAGCTTTCACATGGCCCGTGAAATGAGCACCTGGTATCTTTCGATTGACAATCTTCTCCCTGGAGAGGTTACTCCGGAAAATAAACACAAGAAGCAGCAGATCACCGGTAAAAATACCACGCTACTTCAAGTATCATCCTGAGTTTTTCATAACCAACCTTAGCCTCACGCTTTACCCTCCGCTAAGCGATTCGGNTCTTTACAGTGATGGACTTCAAACGATCACATTGCCATCAGCTGCCGCTGGCAGGGAACTGTACAAGACGTGCGCACTCAATGAACACAGATCATGCTTTGTTACAGACTCTCCTTAAATAATTGCAACAGTCATCGGAAAAGGATGCCCAAAATACAATTGGAGCGACAATCACCAATGGACCTTCGAAAAGGAACTCTTCGAGCGCCTTGTGCTTGAACTATTGACCGAAGGACTCAACAAACACCGGATATTAATCAAGGAAGCTATCTAAATGTCAAACAAAAAACGTGGATTCTGACACACGATCAAATCAGCAGTTAAACGGCACACTGACTAATGTCCAACGAAGTCGTCTTGAACGATAGGCAGAATATCTTGACGCTCAATTCAACACATCCGTATTAGGTCCGCGAACTAGGTAAAAACTGCCAGTTTATATCAGTCCTCCATCTGAAATGTAGATGACAAACGAAATAAGTTGTTTGAAAACGTACACGTTCTTCGGTTCGAATGGATTGTCTCCACCAGCTTTAAGGTTTAGTGGTTCAGCCAGTCTTGTAGATGATGGGCCTCCTAGGTTCAGCGTGATAACTGACCAGGTTCCAGTTGAATGGTGCGAGTCGATCATTCTAAGAGGAAAGGCAACCCGCTGATAAACTTATCACGAGCATAATACTCCATCGATTGTGTCGCATATAGACGGTGTGCTCTAGAGGACCAGGATGGTTCTGATTCAGCCAGTAGTTTGGCACTGGTGCTGCGTCTCCTTGAATGGTGTAACCCAAAAGTTTATTTCAATAGTAAGACCTCTACGGTTGGGGCATTTCACTAAATAGATTGTTATGGTGCGTGCTGTTTGTTGAGACAGATAATGGGTGAGAAAAAGCCAATGGTGGTAAAACTTAGACCTGATCACAAGAGTAGATTCTCATATTTCCTCGGAAATCAGTATCTGCCACATACCTCAGGTAGGAAGGAGTAAGGTATGATTGTTCAAGAGGACTTGAGCTACTTGATCAATTGCGCGAGAGCATTGTCTGCTGCTGTGAAGAATGACAGTTTGCTTCGGCAAGTCTTTGGTCGGTTTGAATAAGCATTGTTCACACGTTTTCTATCCGTGTAAATTCGACCGAACACAGAGTACGCCATTCAAGCTTGGAGTCCATGGTTGCAAGGTGATCGTAAGATGCTGGGACGTCCACAAAGGATTACCACACAGATGATCAAGGGATTGTATTACCTTACCTACGAGGACAGATTAAGGGACATTGTGACTATATTCTGCTCAGTACGCGGAATTCGAGGAGACTTGATTTTAGCGTATCAAATACTGCAAAACCCAAACTATCCACGTCCGCCACTGCTCACCATGTCGAACAATATATACCTTACGGGAAATCGTTTCAAGTTACTGATTCCAAGGTGTCGACCTGCGTCAATCTTTTGCATTAGAGTATGCAGTACTTGGAACAACCTTCCTCCTCACGTCGTTTGTGCACCAACTATTGAATCTTGCAAACGGAGACTCGATGAAACCCTAGCAGGCCTCACATTCCTATACAATTAAAAGGAAATGCGGATTTGTTGAAGATTACATTACATTACATTATTATCTCCTACCAGGAACTTTATGTGACACTTTATCATTTTTTGCCGAGAAACGATTAAACTGTGTAAATATCCTATGAGGACGAGAGAAGCATGAGCTTGTAAGTCTCATAATAAAACTTTGAATTTGGCATGAGAGAATAAAAACCCTGACCAGGAGACTTTCTCACATAGGCCGCGTAAGGTTCGCTGGATGGGGACATCGGGATCAACGCCATAAATGATTAGATACACTGAGTGACATGGCTGAGCATCGCAAACAGTGACACTCGTGCATCTCCTCTTTACTCCCGCAACCTTAGTCTTCATGCATTCTACATTTTTAGTTTGAAAATGATTTGAACATTCCAATCTTTCCTTCAATCCTTCATCCAAATAGGAGTTCATGAAACAGCGACCAAAACCGGCGCACGACAGTTCAAAGTTAACTGGTGTAAATGCTGCAACTCATTTTTTAAACCTGCCTCCGACCCACAAAAGTTCAGCGGAGGACGAGGTCAAAGGGCAACAAACTAAAACAATCTTCGTGGACTTCAGCGGTGTTGGATAAAGTTCACCAACAGCCCATACAGGAAAAGTTGGCCAACCTTGGAGTTGGAACCTCAATGCTTCGGTGGTTAATGGAGTTCTTTATCGACATAAATTGCTGTCCTTGTTGGGCAGACATCATACGCTTTTTATCCGGACATCAATGTACTACCCAAAGGCTGTCTTCGGTTTATTGCTGTTTATGGTCGATGTCAGAGATTTACTAGTATTATAAATAAAAAGGTGGTGCCTGATCGAGTATGGTTGTTTATTGCAGATTACAGTTAGAATATCAATAATTTGGCATACATATAACACATATCTCATTTGAAACGTCATCACAACTCCCGGCATTAAATAGGGTAATGAATGGACCGGTCCGTAGTTATTCGCCGGGGGCACAACAATTCACCCTCAGTGGTCTTGAAAATTTTTGGTCGTTGAAAGAAACCTCCCTCAATCGCGTTATTTTGTATACTACTCACAAATGTGAGTAGCACACGACAACACGTTCTTTGGCGTACAGAGCAACGCATGCGGGGGCACTCTGTTACGCTGAGGAAACTTAAATCAGTTGCTGGTCTGTCGAATGTTGCGGATAGTTATAAATATCTCGAAATATTTTTCAGCGGCAGTGGTAGGTGATGTAACTGCTGATGCATTCAACCGGCGTTGGGGCGGTAACCTGCGGTAAAGGTGGAGGAGCAAACACATGTGATCGACCCTTCGACATAGTGGTGACGAGGCTTCATAGGGACATCCTACCCTCTAGCTTCAATAATGAAGTCACTAATAACACTTAATGTTATCCACAGAATATCTTCAAACAGACCTAATTATGTGATAAAACGTAAAGTACCATCAGGAGAAGCGGTGGCAATCAGACTGCAAGGCCCATCGCCGTGCCAACAGAAAAAAACTGATAAAAGCACTTCGAGTGCCCTAGACTCCAACTGACTTGAAAACTGAACACAGTGCTATTGTTGCGGCATAATGATACCATAATATGCAATTTGTTGAACTACGGAAGGGCCAACGGCTTCTGACCTTGAGCCTTGGAAACTGTAGAAGTGCTGGGTTGCGGTTCACAAGATCAGCTTTTCACGCGACTGGAAACAAATCCAAAAGTTGTGATCAGGAATGTTCCTGTTTACTTACTAGATAAGATAACCCGTCAATGTAAACAATGTCTCATTGCGTTGCATGACTGCATTCCTTTAATTAGCCAATGAAACTACTCGCTAATCTGGTTTGTATCAAGTAACCAAATCAAACAAGCTGGGGGGCATAACGATTCAAGACGACGAATCACCATTCAATCACACATCACTGGAACACGACATGCAGTGAAACAGATACGAATGGAAGGAACGTATCTGGTATCAACTCCTTGTTGGTGGCAAAAGTTTTAGAGCATGTTTTCTCCAGCAAATTCACCGATGACGACAATCAATACAACTCGATCAATGTGCCGACAGAACGAGCAGATATTCAGCAGAGGTGTATTTCCAATGGACAAAAATGTGACCGGACTAAACAGGAGCAATATCAGCCAGAATGGAAATACTACGCACGAGCATTATTAGCATCAAGATCAAAGCGTTACCGATCGAGCATTGACAGTGTTAGCAATGAACGCGTGAGTGGGAAAGACATTCACATGGGAGCACCCGATAGGTGACATCATTCAAACATTGCGGCAATTTGAAACATGGGAACAAGTCTGAGTCACAGAAACAAGAAAGACAACGAAGCGGTGGGAAAAACGTGACAGTAGAGAAAGAACGGAACCATTGAAAGGGCGAGATTGGGTAAAGAATGCTAAGTCGATTGGCGTACCGGATGGGAGGGGGCGGATAGCGGTGTCGAAAACATAGAATGACAAGAAGAAAATCTCCTGATTTGTTGAACTGTTGATATTCTGTGCATAACAGTGCTATTTATCCCTACCTCCACCTCTTGAAGCAGGAAACGAGAAAAAGAAAATCAAAGCAACCGGTTTGAAGATGGAAACGGGATTATATATAAGGTGAATGGGGGTGTCTCTTTATATGAGTGAAGAGATCTACAGTGTCAGTGGGACAAGAGCGCGACAGAAAATTAATCCCCTTTGTTCAAAGCAGCGATGAATTCTTCCAATTTTTCTTGGATATGACGCGTTCGCTCTGAAAGAATGAGAGAGAGAGAGAGAGGAAAACAGTCAGAAAGAGAAGCTCGTGATTGTGCTAAGGAACTGACTGTTTACGAGGTGGGATAAAATATTATCAAACACACTGACGGTCACCTCTTCGTTTTAGCGATTCAAACCGAGTGTAAATGGTATCGAAGCGGGTATAGATAACTTCTTGAAAACATTTAAACACAAATGATGAGCGTTAAAATATACATCACAGCTAGGACTATATAGCAAGCAGTGATATATATATATATATTGAAAGTAAAGTAAAGTAAATGACTAGTAAGATGTCGCATGAGGTCACAGATTAGTCGATTTACATTTATGATGAATATTTGCTTGGGCTATTACATTCCGCGTAACACGTATGTCAAACATTTTTCGGTTTTGTGGCATTCTCAATGAGAGGAAGAGCAAAGCTTTATTTGTAGATCACCCAACTGCTCATAATAGATAATTACGCAATGTGAAAAGTACCACCGTGAGAAATCAGTTTTACAACCATTAAGCATGCACTTTCGTGCGCCGATTTCAGTTGCCGTCTTTTGGCTGCTCATTTGGATAAAGCAGTAGCAAGACGACAGCAGGATTGAAAGCAGAGTAGAAGAAAAAACTGAGAACTCTAGTAAACTATGGCTGCGAAGAAATTGAGGAGATGCGCGGAGGCTATTAATGACGACATTCAGCCATATCACTCAGTGCCTCTAACCATCAGTTACAATCATCCCGAGGTTAAAAACCAGAGAGCCTATGGCCTGTGGCCGAGGTTTTCATACTCTTGTGCTAGGTCTTAGCTTGACCACCCATGGCTTTATTCCCCCCACTACCTGCCTCGATGAACATCGCTTCACGTGGCAACCTATTTGGCGACATGCATAACATGCCTCCATTAACGTAATCCATGCAGGTTGACTACTTGCTTCAACGGACGACCGCGGTTACCGCCTAACCTCACCATTGTTTATCCGGTTTCCCCAGCAGATTCGTGCCAGGTTTCTGCACCGTATAGTAGAACGGGTCGAACTGCCGCGGCATACGCTCAACCCTTCACAGACAGTCGGATTTCGCGACAGCGCCACAAGCATCTCAAGTTGGTAAATGCCAACCAAGCCTTCTCTATGCGAGCTGACACTTCATCCGTGATGCGTCTACCGCGTGAGATATAGCTGATCAAATAACAAAACCTATCCACTAGCTCTATTACTTCCCCAGTTAAGGTGAGACTGGATGCTGGACCAACCCAGTCTTGAATCAACATTTTACACTTCGAAGGTGCAGAACGCATACCGAATATAGCTGGCACTCAAGCTATCCAGAAACGCTAGCAACTTACCTGTATCTTAGCACTTAGCGGNATACTCTAGATCAGACAGACTGCCGTCTGGGAGTAAATCGATGTCACTATCCTCGCACGAGGATGGAGCTTTCTCCATAATCAAATCTGTTACAAAGTTAAATAGTCACAGTCACACTGCTGCTATTCTTTTAAGCTGAGAATTAATGAAACACCGTAATAATTCATACTTCGATACTAAAAGCAGTAGAACTGAGTCACACTTTCTGAACAAACGACACTTGTCTGCGGAAATGCCTCATGGGATAACAAAAGCGACAGTTTGTAAGTTAGTACCAGTGTGAAATTTTGACAAATATCGCATAACGCTAAACAATCAAAGAAACCAGTCCACAGATGACTAAAGAAACATTGACGACTAAAAACCATGCACCAAACTGCAATTTGAAGAATTGTGATCAGTTGATCAACCATCAGCGAGGATAGACTGTGTTAACAATCGTTGGAGAAAAAGAACAATTCTGAGAAATCAAAATTCCAATACATGCATAACTTACTGAGTTCTTCAGCTAGGGCGACTCGTCTACCGGTGATTAGCTTGCGCAGTTCCATAGGATCATTGGCAATCTCTGAAAGTACTTGTTTCACGTGATGTTCCAGGCGTCTGGCTGCACAATTCAGAAGAAATATGAAGAAATGAAATGTAGTGCAGCCAAGAGAAGCAGACTATTGATCGCAATAATCACGTCGATTTAGAGCAGCATTAAAGTGCGAAACAAGTAGTAGGTTCTAAAAATAAGTTACAATAGATATCGAGTGTTGCCCACTTCAATGCTCACTAGAAAAATGCGAAAAAAAATCAAACGTAAAATTCAGTTCCCCGACAATGCTGAGTAAGTAGATTGTAACATTTTTCTTTTCGAAACGCTAAACAAACAAAAACAGCGACTGGTTGAGAACTTTTTCTTTGAACCTATTCCTTTGGAGGAAGCTCACAACAATCTTGAACGTTATCGGACCATTGGGACGTGGGTTGCCTAAGAGGATTACACCACTGATTCACAAAAGTCCCGAACATTCTCAAGTGTTAATAAAACTGTGTACAACTATAAGTGTGAATCAATCGACACGAAGATTCTCGTGTTGTAGATTTATTATTGTCTTTTTTGTTGCATAGGTTGCTGTTATTCTAGATTACAAGTTTACTGAGAATATCTGCCTGACAGCTACATCCCAAGCACGACAACAAGACTGCTTCTAGGAGAGCTTGCATGGGTTATTCAGATGGCAAAACAATGTGCACATATTGGTTGTTTGTTCATATGGACATTTCGTATGAGGAAGGGGACTAGGATGACCACAGAACTCCGGCTAACAGTGCTAAAATAACAAGATCCAGATCAGGACTGATGAGACCGATGCACGCGAAGTAAGGTTATCAAACTTATAACTCTATGCACTTTCGAAGGGATAATAGCATTAAACCGGTAAGTAACCTTTACCTAAATCTCCCCTTATTCTCTACCACGCAACCGTTTGTTATCTTTTTAATGTTTTTGTTTCCGCTTAAGCCTCTTTACTTGATATTGTGCAATCGGAAGCAAGACGGTCTCTGCTTTATTTTGATACGTAATGGCAGAAAACGTTATTTTTAACATTCAGTCTGAAAGATTTGAACAGCTGTCTTCTTAAGAATAATGGTTGAATTCAATTCTATCGGCTGCGAAATACCATACGGTAAAATTTGCTAATCAACATTCCTGAGAGAAGACTGGAGGCCCTTGTTACTGCTTGTTAATATTCAGCTGTTTCGTCCCATTTGTATCAAGCATTTTGTGCTTATTCTCCATACTTTCGAACTTCTAATATCTCGTTTTCCTATCGACGCGAAATTTAGATATTCGGTTGGGGTATCTTTTTTTAAGTCTAGTATGTAAAATGGTACGTGTTCATATCCTCATTGACATAAAAGCATTCCAACTGTTCGCACTGTGCGTGAAAGCAGTTGCTTCCAGAGTATAAATTGCGGATCTCGACGCAGCCGTTACACATGTTATCATTGCCCCCTTTACTTAGCTCGGGCTTGGGTATATTGCTTACTCTTTTGTACGCTGCCTGTTCGCATGCGACTCATTGATTTTGCCACTTGGTTTCCCACGCCCACTTGCTCGCATTTACTGCCGTTTTTTCTATAACTAAAGCCTACCGAAAGATTTGACCATCTTGTGCTGCAACTTTTCCGGATTTGATTTTCGTTGTCAGGTTACTCGTTCGCTGTTCTGTCAAACCTTCTTTCTACTGCTGCTGCACTGTCTTCGTTGCTCATCTGCTTGTAGGTTGATTTTGCAGTATTACTGTTATTGTACATCTCTAGAACCACAATTCAAGCCGAGGCACGTAGTGGGGGGAAGAAAGTCAAGGGTGGTCAAACTAAGACCTGGCACGAGGGTATGAAAACCCTAACAAGGAGTCTGGGTCGCATAGGTCCCGTTAGGCTCCCTGGCTGGGGACCTCGGGATGATCGTACCTGATGGTTCGAGACACTCAGTGATATGGCTGCGTGTCGTAAACAGTGGCATTCGTGCATCTCAATTTCTCTGCAACATTAGTTCACTGAAATTCTAAATTTTCTCTTTGATCCTAATTTCAACCTTTCCTGTCTTTCTCCTCATGTTCATCCAAATGGACTGCCAAAGGACAGCAGCCAAAACAGCCGCACGATAGTGCGTGGTTAATGGTTGAATAAACTGAACTGAACAGTTCAGTTTTGTAAACAACGGTGTTGATTGTTTTTTTTTTCAACCGACACATTGACATCGATCAAGTCTACACCCCCATGAAACAAAAGGACTAATCAGCGCAACGAAGGCGGGTTGTGTCACATGTCACAACAGGACGACAGTAACAATTAGACCGA